TTTTTTTTTGTTAGCCATAGTTAATTTTAAAAAAAAGTGGTATGATTAGTTGTTAGTGGGAATTTAATTTTAAATTAAAATATTGTTTAAAATAAATGATTAAAGTTGATTTGATGTAAAAGTAGGAGAAAAATAATTGAAATTAACGGTCAATTAGAGTGGATATATAGTGAATTAAAGTTGATGTGATGTGTAAGAATGATTGGTTGATATTATTTAATTACATTGATAATATTGAGGATAGTGCGTTGGGTTAAATTTGAGTTTTGATTTTTTTTTTTTTTTTAGTTTATAACCAATCACACCCATTTGCAATTATTTATCCAATACGCGATAAGTCATAGAGTCATTATTCATAGTCAACCTACTTCACTTGGAACCAGAAATGATATGCAAGGTTCAAAGTACTGATTTGCAATTTATTTATCTGAATGAATTCCTAGAGAACTCTCAAGTAGAAAAGGATAGAATATAAACAAGTAAAGACACAAATAGACATAATAAGAAGAACCACTCACTCAGCATTCTTTTCAGATTTAGAATTTTACCTCCAGCAAAGCGCGAATAGCTAACTTGACAGTTTCTTGGCCAGATGTCTCCTTGTAATTCTTTTCGAGAAACTCTCGTATAGAGTTTGAGTTTCTTCCAGTAGCATTGGCTTTCCACGCGGAGAATGTGCCCGATGGGTCCGTCTGGTAAAGCGATGGAGTGCCCGTGTGGGGATCAAAACCAATGATCAAAGTTGAGAGGCCAAAAGGTCTCACACCACCACTCTGCGTGTACTTCTGCTGAAGACCAGCAATGTATCGAGTTATGTATTCCACAGTGACAGGGTCTTCGATTGTGAGCTTATGGCTCTGGCATTCAATACGAGCCCTGTTTATTAAAACACGTGCGTCTGCTTTCAGGCCAGCACATGCTAAGGCTATGTGATCGTCTAAATTGACGATCTTCCTCACTGATCTGAGAGATAGCAGGCGAAAATGGGTACTGTTAAGTGAAGAATATTGAAAATGCAATGAATCTAGAAATTCAAGGATTTGATGCATAAATTTGAATTACAGACTAGCCGTAAAAAGAGACCTAAAAGGAGAAATCAAACAGCATTTGATAATATTTTAATTTATAACTCATTATATAGATAACAAACCTGAGCATCAGCTTGAAAAGCTGACCTTAGAGTTCAAGAACAATGCTAACAAATAACAACAGGTCTTTATTACAACAGCATAAATAATCCTTCGTACGTACAGTTAGCTACTAGTTTTGGTATTGTGACATGAAACTTTAAGCTGTACTTGCATTTTAGAATCATCACTGAAAGTGGATTGGAGCTAAAAACTCCAAATTGGGTTCTAAAAGTGAATGATATTGAAATGTAACACATCATGTATACACAAGAACCAAATCTATCAATGTTTAAATAAATCATCAAAAACCAAGTGGGGATAAATCCAAGCAATTTTAGAACTCACAAAGATCCTAAGACCACCTCCAACCGAACATCAAAACTCATTTTTTGCAGCAAATTTGCCCCAACCGAACTCCATACGCATCTGCAATTTGCGTTTTTCCCGTTTCTCTCTCCTCTTTGAACGCATATTTGCGTCTAGACTCAATTTTTGCGTTTCAATTTTTTCTTTTTCATTTCAGTCCCTCCTTTTATTTGTTATGTTTTGCCTTTTGTCATTTTAGCCCCATTTTTATTAAAATAATGTTTTGTGTGTAATTATATATATATATATATATATATTAATTTTATATCTTTTTCATATAATATTTAAAATAATGTATATTAATTTTATATTTTTTCACAATATGTAAATTACTAAAAAATCTCAATTTCTTTTAAATTAGATAGTATAATATTAAAATAATAAATATTATAATTATCATTCGATTGTATATATTTCACAATAATAATGTAAAATATACATATTATTTATGGTATTTTTGTTTGACAATAAAATAAAACACTAACATTAAATAACAATATTAGTAATACAAATTGAAATAAAAATAATAGTGTGGTTTAATTTGTAAAGTTGTAAAATATGTGGGTAGTATTGAAAAATTATAAAAGTTGATGTAAAAGAGAATATTTCCAGCATATTCTTTTGAGTTTGAAAATGAGTTTTTCGGTTGGAGATGAATTACTGCAAAATGAGACAATTACTGCAAAATGGGTTTGAGTATGGGTTTTTCGGTTGGAGATGACCTAATGTCCAGAAACTGCAAGAAATAGCTCCCCATTTAACAATTAAGCAAAATATGATCTTCGAATCAATTCCGATTTCCTGTGAATTGCAGAAAACTCCCCACCCAAAGATTCCAATCCA